TGGCCATCCTAATTAATCCATTCACGAGTGCATTCGCACCCAATACTGTAACGACACATGCATCTTCACACCTACCAATGCCTGATTCAAAAATGTTGCAAAAATGACTTAACATTTTCTTCAAAAAATCTCCATTTGTTTTCTTCGTTCTCTTTCTTTTGCGTGCATATAACTCTAATAAATTGCGGAGCTAGAATCGTCTTTCACAAAGTGAAATTTAGAACAATATTGACTAATTCAACATGTTCCAATGTGTTTGAGGCCACTCTTATATCCTAGTCATTTGAATTTTGAACTTTCTCGCGTTAATTGCATGCATTTTTCTCTTTGGGAGCAACCAAGAGCGAAAAACGGGGGAAACGCTGAAAAAAAACAACAAAGAGATTTGTGGATTACGAGAGTGATCTGTGAGATACATGGTAGTGATCTCAAAATTTTGTAGTCAAGCACTGAGAATGAGACCAAAGAATCATCTCATCTATAATTAACTGAAAAACGACTTCCAAAAAAAGGCATTTTAGCATGTTTCCTTCAAATTTTTCCCTCAAAGTCATGATTTCTGAAAGTTGCGCAGTTGCCTACGTTCTATAACGCAATGTTGCGAACGAAATGATGTTAAGATTATGATACTTTAGTCGCAGTAAATCTTCAGAAAGTCACAAAAAGAAATACGGATTTTTTGGTTCGTCCTTTAAAGTAGCTCGCAGGATATTGAAATCTGAAAATTGCGCAATTGTCAGCTATATTATGGATAATATTTCCTATCGAATTAGCAAAAAAACGGACTTAAAAACTTTAATTTGACTAGAAATCAAGGAAAACAAAAAACACGGTTTTACTTATTTTATTAGCTCAAACCAAAAATTTGAATTTTGCGCAGCTGTCTTTTCAAATGTACCCTTCAAGACTTTCAAAATCATATACGATTTTACATTAATTTGCAAAGATCGGAGAAAAGGACATCGGAGCCAAATGCACCGTGGAAGACATTTGGTTTCGTAGAGAATGTGCAATTTAGAGTCGGCAGACGACCAGAGCCGACAGGAATTTAGCTCTGGTGGGCTATCTCGGCCCCCATTTAACAAATTCCCCAACATCCTGAATCTGCTCTGAATCGTATGGAGAATCCAGCTGACAACTGCGCAACTTTCAGAAGTTCCACCATAACGAGTTATTCTCTGTACTCTTGTTTTCCCTATTCCTATTTAACATATATGCTTTTATAGTTTGATTCTAAATCATAATAACTATTACTTCCAACTATGCATGCCTTTCGAAATTCTTAGACACATCAACTGCTTTGAAAGATATAGTTATAGGGCGGAAAAGCACTTACTCCTCGCATCTTGCGGCCTTCTCAACTCCAACTTCTACCTTCAAAACTACATTTTTTCGTATTTCATGGAAAAACTCCCTCGTTATTGTCCCTAAAATCCACAGTTTTTATGTGCTACGATATCTTAATCTTATTTTGTTAACAATAAAGTGAACTTTCCTCCCTCTATTAGTCTTTTAGTATTTTCAAAACTTTATTGTGTAGAAATTTGACTTGCTCAAACTCTCTTAGGTGAGCGTCCTACTCTTTCTTCGCTATTAGTGATGGTGACCAGAGCCGTGGCTCCATGTATCTAACCTATGTGCATGTAATATCTTAAAGAATCTACATGTTTGCCTGGTTATCCAAAAAATTAATAAAGAGTTTATTGTACCTTTTGGACAATAATTCCAAGCTTATTTCCGTCATTTCTAAGATTACAAATTTTTAAACTTTCTACTTTGCTCTTGAAAGAAGCACGCTTTAAATGCGTAACTCTCTCATTGAGGACCGTCTTTCGTATAAGATTTCCGTCATACAACGTTTCTAGTCTTTCTGTCTTATTTATTTGTTACGTATTCTGCAAGGCTGCTCAAAATTATGGATTCAAATTGATCTGAATTTGTTATTTTAAAGTGCCAGACTCGGAAAAAAGTTGATTGTAGCATTCTAAGTGCCAGGTTGTCAACGTTTCAATTCTATCATCAGAACTTTGAAGTTTCTATTAGCTAACGAGCTATTGCCTTACACGGTTCTTACCGCTCAGTCAATCATAATAATGCCTAAAATGCCTTTGGGAAATTTTTTGAGACAACCATACCATTCTCTAAATCGTCAGCATTCCAGTGGTAAATCTAAAAATGCAGAAATCACCGAGTCACTCTGAAAGGAGTTACGACCTAGCGACGCTTTCGTTGCGATTAATCCGTCGCAACCTCGAGTTAT